CAATTTTACGCGTGTACCGTAGGAGTTTTAAAGATCATAAAGAGGTGTTCATACTTAAATTTCAAAATTCATTCCACTACCGGCTACCCGGGGCTGTGATGGACTTACAATTAGTAGATCTTTCATTCGGTTGGTTAAGGTTAAAAATTCAATACAAGACACGCTGAAGGTTTAATTTTTTATATTATTAAATCAACTTTACTACTTTGTAGTACTCTGTCATAAATAATATCGATTTCTATATACAAATATTTATATATATATTTTATAAGTATATTATATATACACAAATATATGTGTGGACAGTTTTGATTGTACATTCGAGCAGAGGATAATTATACGACCACGCGTATGCACATTCAGACATGTTATATGAACGCGGTAACGTAGCTACCTAATGAGCCTTGTGTCCTGAATCTATGTGACCACTGTACGATCATTGCACTCGACGAAATATTTGTCTCGTTGTTTACTGGTTGTTATATGTTTCTATTGCAGGCTCATCGATCATGATAATCGACATCTTCAAAAGTTCGAGCATTCAAGACTAAGGGGAAAAGGAGCGAGAGAAACCACAAAAAAACAAAAGAAAAAGGAAGAACTAACAGTCTAAAGGGTCAGGGTGGGGTTAAAATCGAAGGGTGCTTAGGAATCCTTGTGACAGTATTTGCGCAATTCATTCTACGCGAAGTTTTATTTCAGCCAACGCTTTATATTACCCGTTCTACCGATTCGGAATAAAAATACGAATAAGACTGCGTTTTACGATCGCTGAATCCCATTACACTCTGGGCTGGTAACTCGCCGTCGTCTGCACACGAAAATACGTGCGCTTACCCCGTACGAGGCAAACAAAACTATGACTTTTATTGCACTCCGGAGCATTACTACGAGTATGCATAAAGCGAGTGAGCGAGGTGTCGCAATCGCGTTAGCCATTCCCATTAAGTAGTACATATATATGTAAATATGAAAAGACCAGGGACGCCGGTGATTCTATCTGTTACTTCATATCTCAACAATTTCGTTATCATTATTCCGAAAATTGATTTTCTGCAAGCAATAGGCAGTAAATGTATTTTGTACTCGAAATAGTTTATTATCATTAAACTTAGTAATTGTAAGTAGAAAATTACGATTAAACGTTATCGATTGACCAACAGTTTCTGCAGAATTTTTGCACAATTTTTTAATTGAACAAATCCCTATAACTCATTACGTATATTGTATCGGAAACTGTATCAACGTAGAGGCTGAGGTTTGAAAACTGGAAAGAAATATTGAAGGTGGTCGACACTAGCCTCAATAACAAGAAAGTGGTTGAGGGGAGGACAAATGAATGTCTGACGAATATGTTGAAAAGAGAGGAAAGGCGAAGGGGATATGGGGAATGGGAAATGGTTTAAAAGGGAGAAACCGGTCACACATGACAAACGGGTGGAACGCGCATCCACCGAACCACGTGGGGTGGGTAGAGGAAAATAGCACGCTGCTTTCGGAGTTCCCAGAAGCGGTTTTCCACTAGATGTAAATCGCAGAAGAAATTCCTAACCCGTGCCGCGAAGCCGTTCTGAGAGGGGTACTACCTACTGTGTACGACCTACAACCTTCTACCAGCGCTACTCGGGTAGATAGCGAGCTTTCTGTCACGAGTAAAATTGCGGCTGTTTATCTAAACCAACTAACGGAAATTCCATTTCATCTCACGCCACTCTCGGCCACCTTTATTGTGACTCTTATTTATTTCATTCGCAACATTTTCCGACTCCACTGAACCACTGGCAGCTTCCCTTATACGTATACATATGTATATGTGCCCAAACAACTACCGATGCTCTGTAATACCAATGACTCTGTAAATTCATACACGTTCTTTGAAGATATCTGTCAGAGTCTTGAAAAACTTTCTTTTACTCTTATATAATTCTTGCTCGATTATCGGAAAAAGGCTTTTTTTTATAAAATTTACATATTTTAACTAATTGCAAGAAATTGCTATCCTACTTTCATAAAATTATCTCGATTCGATTTGGAAGCTGGTATAAGAGACTGCAAAGGATTAATATGATGCCGCTGAGGCGAATGTAGAAACTACACCAAAGAACGTCCGGTTCTTAAATGGAAAGGTTCAATTGATTCGGAACAGATCTGAACGGCAAGGCACGCCGAGGCTAAGGATTACATGGAAGATGTATGGCGGTTTAGCAGCTTATTTTATCAAGAAGGTATCCCTATGTTACAGCGCAAAGTATTCTTCGATAGTGTCTGGAATCGAAAGGTTCTCAAACGAATAAGCTGATCGGTTTGAACGATCTTACGAACGACCTAGCCGTGACGTGACTGTCAAGATTTAGTATAAGCTGAATTTCGAAAAGGAGTTTTTACGGTAGATGTTTTTCATTGATTTTCTGTCACTTGTCGAAAGCTTAAATTGGGAGAGTTTCACAAACAACCCATGTACCCATGTACAGCAATTGTAAACAGAGTTTTCAAAATTTAAGCGCTAAGCTTGCAAAGCCAGGATGTCACGTTTCGTGTCTCTTAGATTGAAATATTCCTGTGAGGGTGTACATTGTCTTCGAAAGTTCGTCTAAAAGCTCACGCTTATTTCGATATCCCGTTATTTAGAGAAGCGAGGGTGACGAAACGAATATTTCTACCGGATATCGTAAATTATTGTGGTAAAATGATTTTACATAATATTCTTACCGACGAGTGGTAAAGCCATTAATTCCTCTTGAGCGACGCGAAAAGAGATTGTCGTACGCAATCGGCCTGAATGCCAATACAACATTTTTTAAAATTGCTCGATAGTCGTACACGGATAACTAACTTACATTTATTCCCGATCGTGAATCCAGGCTAAGAACAGTTGCTGCGTCTTATTTTTCATTTTGATTCTATCACAATAATTGTGAATTAAACAAACTTATTTGAAGGATTCCATAATTTTTGAGAAAAAAAATTATATGTATTTGTTAACTATGCAAAATTCTCAGATCCTCAAGTATATAAATGGGGTGTAGGAAGGAAATAATAAGAAGTAACGCTATTTCGATTCACTGTAAAATTAGACGTCGCTGTCGGATTTAAAACTCGAAGGAGAAACGCCCGGAGGAATTGCTCGAGAGGCAAATTGCACAAGCTAATGGAAAAAATGACAACTCCTAGGAGTCTAGCATGAGAATGTAGACTGTTCACAGTGGGGCAACGAACCCGGCGTATAGACGTAGACATTGAAACGCTGACAGGAGGACGTAAAAGAGATAGAATTTGCTGGGGACGTCCGAAGGAAGACAAGACAAGACCGTGTCGGGACCAAGCGAGTCTCTATAAAGATAAAAGGAGGAACAAGGAAAGGGTAGATAGGTAGCTAATAATATAAAAAGGCGTGGAGGCAGCGGAAATCACAAAAAGGGAGAACCTCCCGTGGAGATTCAGATTTCACTAAGAGAATTTCCCACCTCGAGGAAGGTTCGAAATGCAGAGAGGAATTTGTTAGGGAGCATTCAAGAATTCAACGATTCAAGAAAACGTTAAGTAACTCGATCAAGGGGCAGGATTCGCGGTTGATCGCTTCCCATTCGACGAAACCAGGATACGGCAGACTTTATTCGTAAGAATATCAAAAAGGAAACGTAGCCAACCTCTCCTCCCTAAAAAAGCAAGCAGACGCACACGACAAGCTCTTTGGGGTTTGATAAATGAGTACCAGAAATTTCCAAATCTTAATTGCGAGGAAATGGGATGTAATGACGTGAATTATTACCCAGAAAAAGATGCTGACTCTTATTACGGGAGAACTGAGACCTTTTAATCTGACCCGGAAAACGCTGATCCAAACCATTCCATTGCCAATCTGTTACGGATGCCATTTTTTATTTTCTAGTTGCAAGCCCACTTTGTATCACGACGTATCTATTGGAGGTGTAGTCGCGGCTGGTTGTTAAGTGTAGAAAACTCTGAAAAACTACAAGTACAAAAGACGAAAGGCTTTCACTGGTGATTTCAATGCGTGATTAAACTGCGAACTCGTTGGCTCGTCGTTAGAAAACTTCGGTTCAACCTTTTCAGGGTACCGAAAAGTCCTTAAATTTTTTATTTTTCATCCTTTTCCTTTTATTATTTCAAATGAATCGTGCTCTCGCTGCTACTTGGATCGTTACCTAATCCGAGGAAAAATGTTTCATACCGATTCAAATTTTCGAACATAGATGAAAATGAAATCACGATTACCAGTCGCAAAAAGAAACGCGAAAATAACGAAATTAATCACTGTGCTATTTCAATTGAAAGTCAATGGTCGCAAAAATTTAATCTCGTCCTCGCTTTGCGACAAAACTTGTTAGCCCCATTGGTCCCTATACTTCTCCAAACAATTTTGATACAATGCTCGAGCACTCGCTTTAAAAAATCGCAGGCTAATTTCCGGTCGGCAGACGAGTGCATATCTGCGAACTTTAATAACACACGAAGGTAGACCGTAACTAAAAAAATTGATCGATCACAATACTGCATTTCACTGCACGTCAATATATTTAGGAAAAAATAATTGCACTGTATATCATGAAATACCATAGTCTTTCTAAACGACTCAAAAATATATGAATTCATGCACTATGCATATACGAATTTAATAATTTAATGCTCCAACTTTATACTATTTCTATCCGAAAAATCACATTTCGCCGCGTGAAAGCTTTGAAAATGAAATGTCACTAATGACCAAGAACATCTATTCGAAATATACCAAAAGAATGGAATAGCAGCAATTATAACCAGCAATTCGTAATAGAAATTGGTAAATAATAGCCAAGCCAGTAGATACGTGAGCAAATACCTAGGTGAATGGGTCGATAGGTAAATAGGCAGGTAAGTGGGTCGATAGGTTAGCAGGTAAATATAGGTAACTAGTATAAGTAAATAGGCAGATAGAAGCTGCGTGGATCAAAGCGCATGCGTCAATTCCAGGACCGTTGAGCGGCAGTCGCTCTCCGCACTTGGACCGTGCAACATCGTGACCATAATTCGAAAAATCTGATCGTTGGGGAGTTTTGATCGTTATGATCGAATATATCGATATAATATTTTGATAAATAGTTACAGATATCGATAAGACGATCCAATTGATTAAACAATGAAAAATGCACGGGATGTCCGATGGATGTTATTAGGGTTCGATAAATCGAACTGAGATTGATCCCATCGTCATACCGGAAGAGTATTGACCGGAAACACTTGACGAGTCGGATAGCTCTTACGCGACGGGGCAAGTGCTTTTATTCGTACAATCTTAAAGTATCCCTCTTATTCTTCCTAGTTATCTACCCTACTTGGAATTGGAAGTAGCACTGTAGGTGCCCGAGGGCTGACACGAAGTTTCCTTATATTTCTTCGAAAGTGGTGCTCCATGGAAGTTTCGACAAACGTTTTTCGTGCCTCGTGAATCCGACAAGTTTCCGCCGCAGCGGGTGCCAACTGCCTGGCTGTATTCCCTCCGTATTACCCTTATCCGCCTATACCTTAAGACAGTCACTCGAATTTCGCAGCTACAGAGGTCCTTGTACATTTTCAACTGGAATTCTAAGAATTTTTGAACTAAACCCCTTGTCCACTTTAGCCGCGCAACTTTTAAGGGTATTTCTGGTATTTCTGTTTACGCATTCCACTACATTCAAAAGGTTTATTTTACCGAGGAATTCATTATCGGCGGAAATTCTTTGAAGTTTCCTATTCGAGGTAAATGATATACGTATATTTTTTGAATTTTTAACTACTTTTTACGTATGTTTTAGCCCTGAAAATCACTTTTAATTCAATATTCGCTGTAATAAAGATTTTAAAACATTATCATACACTATACACCGGATGACCGGAACTCGTATGAATGAATAACAATGGACCGATTTTATAAAAGTAGGAATGACTTCGTTTTCAAAATATAAGCGATAAAATCGGTTACGTACATCAACAATATTTATTCGGACGTGTAGAGAAACTCGTCGAATACGGAAATGTTATAGAAGGTAAACGAGAAATTACATCGGAGTTTGTTGCGGACACGTGATATGAAATTTACATTCGTGGGGTAATTCAAATTCTGCCAAGTAATTCATCCAACGTAAAAATTCTTACTCGAAAGGAAAATATTTTGTATTCTGTAATGTAAACGGATAATCAGCGCGCGCAGGTGCATATTAATCACTCAATATTACTATCATAATACACCTACTAAGGAGCGATTGGTAAACTGTAATTAATCTATGTATTCCATAAATTTAATAATAATAATAACAGTATAATGTAACATAGCCTAAATTGGCTATCAGCCAATTCAATCAATATGCAACTAACATGGAGAACCAAGTGATTCGGACGACGATACGTAACAGCAAAGAGATGCAATAAAAATCAAGGATAAACCCATGGTAAGATTTTTTCCTATATTACGTAATATTTATGGTTTTTAATTACATAGTTGACCAGTTACAACAAAGTTTTCGCAGCGGCTATACTTGAAAAATGGAAAGCATCTTTTAAATTCAATCATGTCATCCCTGAGAATGATTGCGATCGCGTGTGAAAGAGAATAAAAAAAGTTGTTCAATCTACACGAAAAAACGAAGAAAAAAAAGTTACGATAAATGTGTGGAAGGGTAGTGTTCTATTGCAGAAAAGTATATACTGTGGTGTGTGGGAAGGGCGTGGACACAGGGAATATTATTTTTATATAAAAAAATATAATAAAAGCAAAGCTGAGGCTCGTAACAAATTCCGACACAGACATATTCGCTCCAACCATTCGTAAGGGAAAGAATTTATACGAAAAAGACTATTGAAATTTATATTGGCTGGTGAAAGTATTTCTGCCCATTGGTTTGATTGCTTCCTGTGAATCTAAAACACATATAGAGGAAAAGTATGCAATTTTTATATCTGACTACTTCTCTCAATGGAATTTAAGGAATTTGTTATTATACTCAAACCTTTACACGCGTTCAAAATCATGATCTATTAAATAATTGTACACTTCATATTATTAAATTTATGATCAATATAGAGTAATCCAAAAGTTACGTCCAAATTTCGTTCCCTTTCCTTATAACTATGGATGGGGTTATGACATTCGAATTACCCTGTACATAATTATTTTTGAAGACGCTTCTGCTTTTAGCGATACAATAATTTGTACAGTACACATTTCTTGTAATTTTTGTCACAGTAATCATAATTCATATTTTCATGTTGACTTGCAATTTAAAATATAACGTTCATTATTTAGAAATTTTTATGGAAAATTTTTACTTTCAGGTTAATACAAACTCAATCTTACGCATTTGTATCGTATAATAAGTAATTTTGAAGCAACACGTTGTTGTTTAAATTAGAGTGATTGAAGAGTGGGATTATACAAAATGTACCGTTCTAATAAACGATGACTATGATCGTTATTTTGTGATTTTGTCATGTTAATGCAAATTATGTGCCAACAATTTTATGAGACTCAGTAAATACTTACGAGGCAAGGGAGGAGCTTTTTGATTAACTCAGATTGACATAATGTCATTGAAAAAAAATTCATTCGTTCGTTAGCAACTTTGATATTAAAATAATTCATCTTAATCAAATTCTATTTCTTCAAAAATTAAACAAAATTATAAAATAGTATATATTATTAACAAACGTCTCAATGCCTTTGAACGTAACTCCGAGTTAATCGGTATTCTTTTCAATCAAAAATATTTCGGGACAACTTTCTCTGAAAGCTTTAGTTTCAGTGAATATAAAAAGCTTGAACTGCAAAAAGTACATTCATTTCCAGTGATTGAATCTTGTTATAAAATATTAAAGAATCATGTAGATCCATCGTAAAATTCAATAAAAACTTATTAAAACAGAAAATTGTATACGATCCTGAAATTACTTATTGTTAGTATCGACTATCGCGTATATCGGAAATGAAAATAGCTGTGACGCGTAATCCATATTGCTCTTTTTTGTAAAAAAAAATCGTGCATGCTCGAAATAGCAATTTTTACCTCCGTTAATATTTTCTCGCGTAGAATAGAAACTCAACGCTTTGCAACGAGGTAGGGGTTCGTCCAATTTACGAAGGAACGACGAGACATGGCGTCGTGACGCAAGAAGTACCGATACGTCAAATAGTTACTGACGTGGAAAGCGCAAAATTCCACGAGGGCAAGAACAAATAACCCCACCAGATTTTTTGTACTTTTCCCTGAATCAGCGCGCTACTTCTATAAAAAGACTGATAAAAAGGTGAACGGTTCAACTTGCCCTGAGAATTTGAATAAAACCTAGCTTCCCTTGGATTGGTAGCTCCTTTTTCGCGTCCTCCCCTCCCCTCCCCCGTCTCCCGGCTATTTCCGATGCCCATTTCGGGATTCTCTCGCTCCCACAGGAAGCCAAGAGTGCCACAGCATTCTAGCTGATTCATAAAAAGCTCTACGTACTGTAGACCCGAGGCTTCACGATATATGGACATCCATGAATATCACTCCGAACTCTCTTTCCTTGACTTACTTTTTTGTTCCCTCTTCTTTCTCTTCAGCATCCCTGTACAACCCAGCAGTATCATCGCCACACAGTTTCGTGTTCTTAGTGTCCCTTTGCGACTACCTGCCACCCCCATTTCCCGATTGAAGTTATCATTTCTTGAGAGCCACCACTCGCCAGATAGGTCTTGTGAAATATTTGTATGAACGGTCATCGTCTTCTTTATTTCTGAAAAATTTATCAGAGGATAATAAATCTCTTACTTTGAATATCGATGTCGGATGGAGTGGAAAAAGCATGTAACGTGTATTCCCAAAGTTTTCTGTAATCGAATAAATAAGGAAACAGACAGAGCAAGAGATAATATTTTGAGAGTAAATTCTGTTCAAGATTGAGTGTACCTTCGTTATAATATTTTTATCAGTCTTATCACTTCGATTGCCAATAACGCTAAGTATTTTACGGGGAAAATTTATGACGAAATGATAGGACACAGACAACAAAAATTCAATATAAAACTCTGCTATTTCTCCCGTAAGCTCATCACCGATGTGCTTCACGTCAGCTATCGTATGCAAGAGTCTGGGGGACCGTTCATCTCGATAACATATTACGGTGACAGTGAATGATAGATACACGAGAAAAAACATCAGTTGAATCAAAAGGCAACAACAGAGATTGAATGTATTACGCGTGACTGCGATGACGTAATTTTCCAAGTGATAAGGTGGCACGGAAGCCTGGAAATATCAAGAGGACTGTAATCGAACCTCTCTCAGGACGAAGAGTAGCGCCCCGTTATTTCAGAGAAATAACGAGAAAACCAAGTCGCTGCAATTTTTCTATCCTTACCGTTAACGGTATAAGCTCGCAACTATGTAATACGGACAGAGTTTCAACTGCTCAAGTATACATAATGATATACATGTGCAGAATCATGTTTTCCGAAAGGTATGGAAACGTCCATCGGATCCGTTACGTCACCTTCACGATCCCGGCTGTTTTTCCTAACAGGCAAGTGAACTTCCCTGACGTCGATTGTAAGCGGCTAGTAAAAGTTAAGGGTTCCCGCCATTAGCATAACTCGAGGAGTTTTGGCAGGGCGTAGCTGGTTAATCTCGTAGCGGTCGGCATCCGCAGCGTGTTAAGATTTTGGATGTTGCTGAGGATGGCAGGTGGAAAACCCTCGTAGCTTAATTCAGCATCAAAAATTATGGAGGGCAGTATCATAGCAATGTAATGAAGTTATCCGCAGTAGCAGCTTATCGTGCGGGTATCCACGGTCTTGCGCAAGTCACTCACTCAGTGGGAGTGAGTAGGGGATAGGAGCGAAGCGACAGGAGACGGCTTAAATAAAGCACCATTATATACAGAGCAGCTCTGTTCCATTATTGTACAAGGCTTGTATGTATTACTTCATCTTTTTTTTAATACTTATCTCCTCGATTTTTCAGAATTCTTCCTTTTTTTCCTTCCTCTTTGCCGCAATCCCTTTTTTTTATCTTCTAGGGAACATTCCCATCCACTTGCCAGCGCCTCGCAAACTCCATTTCCACGCGCGTCAGAAACCGTTGTATATCAATCTTGGTCTCGGGGTCATCTGGGGTCAGAAGGAACGAGCTTCCGGTTCTATTTGTTTAATTGTCAGATCCTCTGAGTAATGACTATGTCATTGCTGATTATTGTCATGCCGTAGATGGTGTCTGCTGTTTCGAGATTAAATGTATGAGAACCTCCGTAAGATCTATATAGTTTTCGTTGTTATACGTGAAATCACATATTAGGGAAATTCACGTTTTATTTGTGTATCGCACACGAGTCCCGGTTTGCTTTGAAAAGTTTCTCTGGATACTCAAACAAGTTAATCATCGCTTTGATCGTGATCACGTCATCGGTGTTATATTTTTAAATTCGGCTGAAAGCTTCACGTCGCTTTTTCGTACACGAGTTATCGATTAGAGGGTTTAATATTTGACGTTTTGCAAGCTAGTCGTATTCAAAAAAAATATTGTATTTTTTGAGAACCGATCCTATATCAAGGATACTATCGTTAATTGGGAAATTAACATATGCCGATACAGGTGTACGAGTCTATCAGTGCCGAGCTGCGAATCTAGCATTAATTATAATCCTCCAATCGAGCTATTGGACAATTAAATTAGCCGTTAAATGCAGTTGTAATCGTATTGGGATTATACTATGTAATATAACACTCTTTTTCTATTAAACATTAATGGTAAAACACAATAACAGAGAAAACACTACCAAAATAAGATCTTTGAACAATTCGAGCTTGAACGTATAATCGATGATATGCGGATATAAAATAAAAGGAATCTAATATAGATAAATGCCGTTTAAAACAAATTACTAAATTTCGCTAACGCACGCACACTATATTTAACAGTATATTAACATAGAGAATCGTGGTGACAATTCTTGTGTTTACGTGATCGTGATAAGCCAGCCGTAACCAGGAAGCTTCCAATATACAGCACCTCGTGTCTTTCCAGAATGCGATTTGTTTCTAATAAAATCCAAGCCGAATAAAATACTCCTACGTTGACCACGGGACAATGGCCCAAATACCTAAGAGAGTGATGGAAAAACAAATCTAATAGAATAACGTCCTTATAAGCAATTTCTATATTCTTTACTATAAATACCTGCTGCTTCCGTATTCACTGCCTACAGGCAAATGGGAAGAGCAAGACTTTTCCCTTCGCGAAGCTGCTAAAGTTTACACTAAGTGGGAGGACACGAATGTGCTGGCATCTGGACTAAATTCGGCGCGCAAATATAATTGTCGCGCTACAACTATAGCTATTGCATCTAGGTAAAACGATTCTATCATATTTATCAGTGGATATGTGGTGGGCACTAAATATGATAATGGAGGAAGATCAAACAT